TTATACAAAGCCAGCAGCCAACATCATCCTAAATGGAGACAGTCTGAAAACATTCCCCTTGAGCACAGGAACTAGACAAGAATGCCCTTTATCACCACTCTTATCCAACATTGTGCTGGAGGTCCTGGCCAGAGCAATTAGGCTAGAAAAACGAAATAAAGGGCATCCAAATTGGTAAGGAGGAAGTAAAAGTATCTCTATTTGCAGATGATATGATCTTATACACAGAAAACCACAAAGAATCCACAAGAAAACTACTGGAACTAATAGAAGATTTCAGCAAAGTTTCAGGATACAAGCTAAACATACAAAAATCAATTGGATTCCTTTACACCAACAAAGAGAACTCTGAAGAGGAAGTCACCAGATCAATACCATTTACTATAGCCCCTAAGAAAAACAAATAGGAATAAATCCAACCAAAGACGTAAAAAACCTATACAATGAAAACTACAAGACACTACTGCAAGAAACCAAAAGACCTGCATAAATGGAAAAACATACCTTGCTCATGGATAGGAAGACTCAACATTGTGAAAATGTCAATTCTACCCAAAGCGATCTACAGATACAATACAATCCCAATCCAAATTCCAATGGCATTTTTTAATGAGATAAACAAATCACCTACTTCATATGGAAAGGGAAGAATTCCAGGATAGGTAAAGCATTGCTCAAGAAAAAAACAAAGTGGGAGGCCTCACACTACCTGACTTTAGAACCTAGTATACCACCACAGTAGTCAAAACAGCCTGGTACAGGTACAACAACAGATACATAGACGAATGGAATAGAATTGAGAATCCAGACATATATTCATCTGCCTATGAGCAGGTGATATTTGACAAAGGCCCAAAGTCCGTTAACTGGGGAAAAGAGAGTCTCTTTAACAAATGGTGCTGGCATAACTGGATATGCATCTGCAAAACACTGAAACAAGACCCATACTTCACACCATGCCCAAAAATTAACTCTAAATGGATCAAATACGTGAATATAAAATCGAAAATGATGAAGATCATGGAAGAAAAAATAGGGACAACACTAGAAGCCCTAATACATGGCATAAACAGAATACGAACCATAAGCACAATGCACAGCACCAGAAGAGAAACTAGTAACTGGGAGCTCCTAAAAATCAAACATTTATGCTCATCGGAAGACTTCACCAAGAGTCAAAAGACAAACTACAGACTGGGAAAAAATTTTTGGCTACGACAAATCCGATCAGCACCTAATCTCTAAAAGATACTGCAAGACTTCAACAACAAAAAGACAAATAACTCAATTGAAAAATGGGCAAAGGATATGAACAGGCACTTTGCCAAAGAAGAAATTCAGGTAGCTAACAGACAAATGAAGAAATGCTCACAATCATTAGTCTTTAGAGAAATGCAAGTCAAAACTACAATGAGATACCATCTCAACCCAATAAGGCTAGCGTTGATCCAAAAAACACAAAATAATAAATGTTGGAGAGGTTGTGGAGCGACTGGAACACTTGTATGCCGGTGGTGGGAATGTAAAATGGTACAACCACTTTGGAAATCGATGTGGCACTTCCTTAAAAAGCTAGAAATAGAAGTAGCATACGATCCAGCAATCCCGCTCCTTGGAATATATTCTAGAGAAATAAAAGCTGTTACACGAATAGATGTATGCACACCCATGTTCATTGCAGCACTGTTCACGATAGCAAAAAGATGGAAACAACCTAGGGGCCCGTCAATGGATGAATGGATAAACGAATTATGGTATATTCACACAATTGAGTACTATGCAATAATAAAGAACGATGAAGCCTGTAAAACATCTTATATCACGGAGAAATCTGGAGGGCATTATGCTGAGTGAATTTAGTCAGTCACAGAAGGACAGATATTGTAAAAGAACTCAAGACAAGGTTTAAACACAGAAGAAAACATTCTTTGCTGGTTACGAGGGTGGGGAGGGAGGGTGAGGGTTATTCACTAACTAGATAGTAGACAAGAATTATCTTAGGTGAAGGGAAGGACAGCACACACTACAGGGGAAGTCAGCACAACAGGACTAAACCAGAGCTAAGAAGTTTCCTGAATACAACCAAACACTTCGAGGGACAGAGTAGCAGGGGCAAGAGCCTGGGGACCATGCTTTCAGGGGACATCTAGGTCAATTGGCATAACAAATCTTACTAAGAAAATGTTTTGCATCCTACTTTGGTGAGTGGTGTCTGGGGTCTTAAAAGCTAGCAAGCAGCCAAATAAGATGCATCAATTGGTCTCAACCACCTGGAGTAAAGGGGAATGAAGAACACTAAAGACACAGGAAAGTACTAGTCCAGGAGACAGAAAGGCCCTCATAGACCAGAGACTTCATCGGCCTGAGACCAGAAGACCCAGACGGTGCCCAGCTACCACCGATGACCACCCTGACAGGGAACACAACAGAGAGTCCCTGAGATGCGGGGAAAGGGTGGGATGCAGAACTCAAATTCTAGTAGAAAAAGAAACAAACTTAATGGTCTGACTGAGACTGGAAGAACCCCAGAAAGCATGGCCCCTCGACTCTCTGTCAACCCAGAACTAAAACAATTCCTGAGGCCAACGGTTCAGACAAAGATTGGACTGGACTGTGGAACATAAAATGATACTCATGAAGAGTGTGCTTCTTAGCTGAAGTAGATACATGAGACTAAATGGGCAGCTTCAATCTGGAGGTGAGATGAGAAAGCAGAGAGTTAGGAGCTGGTTGAATGGACACGGGAAATAGGGTGGAAAGGAGGAGTATGCTGTCACAGTGTAGGGAGAGCAACTAGGGTCACATAACAATGTATGTATAAATTTTTGTATGAGCGACTAACTGAATTGTAAACTTTCACTTAAACTACAACAGTAAAAGAAAAAAAAAAAGCCAAATTAGACCCATTGTTTCTATGGCAATGATTCCTACCTTTGATTCTGTGTGGTTATGAAATCTTCCATAGATTATCTAGTAATGATAACACGTGAATTTGTATTAATCTAAAAAAAAAAAAAACTGCCATCAAGTGGATTCCAATTCATAGGGACCCTGTAGAGCAGAGTAGAACTGCCCACAGGGTTTCAAGGCTGTAATCTTTACGGAAGCCAACTGTCACATCTTTCTCCCTCATAGCAGCTAATGGGTTTAAACTGGTTCAAACCGGTAACCTTTTAGTTAGCAACCCAGAGCTTAACCACCGCGCCACCAGGGCTCCTGACATTAATCTGGGGCTTCTCCCCACCCCCCACCTCTGTAGGCCTGATAAGGGGCGGTTCTACTCTGTCCGATAGGGTCACTGTGAGTCAGAATCGACTAGCCGGCTTTTTGTTTTCTTTTGGTTTTGGTAGACCTGATGACAACGGATGTTTTACAGACATTTTAAATGATTGCTTAAAAATCAAAAGGTGGTACTGTGAAGTTGAAAGTGAGAAACTTTAATCCAGTGTCTATCACTTTAAGAACTGTTTTCTAGTCACTACCATGAGTCTTAATAAGCACTTTTATTAATAATGAGAATTAAAGTATATGTGGTAGTACCTAGTACTCAGGAGGTACCCAATAAAAGTTATTTTTCCTCTACTATCAAACAATAACTCACAATGCAAAAACAAGGAAACGCTGCACCATAATGTTAATGTACACCGAAGTTTCTGGGATTTTCCTCAGTGTCCTAACCAAAAATGAATAGATCAAGCGGGGAAAAAAGGAAGTTCCGGGGCGTGCATTTATCCCAAGCTGCCTAGTCCGCCACGTTGGAACTCGAAAAAGCGTCTCTGTTCAGCGAAGGACTCAAACCGACCCCCTCCAACTCTTTCCCGGACTGGGCGTTCCCGCCCGGAGGGGGCCGCCCCGGCCCCGCCCCCGCCCCGCCTCGCCCTCCTGTAGTACGGCTGCGCAAACGTCCCTCTTCGGCCGCCATAGGCCGCCGGGGGTCAGTAGCGCGTCCCCATTGGTTGTGTGTGTTTAGCGCGAAAACGCGGACCGGTTGCGGAAGCGAAGAGCAGGCGCTAAAGGAACGGGAACGGTAGGAGTGAGGGTACTGAGGGTCCGGCGATCGTTTGGCTTGAGAACGGGCGGTTGACGAGGCCGCGGGACCAGGGTGCGTCCGCCATGTTCTGTGAAAAGGCCATGGAGCTGATCCGCGAGCTGCACCACACGCCGGAAGGGCAGCTCCCCGCCTTTAATGTGAGGGGGGGAGAGGAGCAGAATAGGGGGATGGAGCTTGTCGAGGGGTGGGGCGGGGGCGGGGCCGAGGGGAGAGCTCGGGGTGGGCGGGGCCTGGGCAGGTCCGATTTCGCGCGGTTCTACGAATGCCTCTCCTGGAGGGTTTACTTTCCCATCGCGCCAATTTTGGACCACAGCATGACAAAATACAGGAGCAAAAAGAGAACATTGGTGTATACCGCTCAGCGATTTGAGTTCCTCATATGACTATCTCCTTTAGTGTTTTTCCATTTTAGCTTTGTTGCTGTTCCTTTGTGTAACCAAAACATTTAATGATGGCCTGATAAATTAGCATTTTTTGCGCTTTCAGGCAGCGAAATGTAGTGATTAAAAGGTAGGCCTCTGAAGCCAGGCTGAGATTCTGGCTCTGTTGGGTCAGTTTGGACCAGCTACTCGAGCTTTCTGTGCTCTAAATTTTCTTATCTGCAAAAGTGGCGATGATGATGATCATAATAATACACAGTTCATGGTGGTGGTGTTAGGTACGGTGGAGTCGGTTCCGACTTATAGCCACCAGGTGCACCACAGAACCCTGTGTACAACAGAACGAAACACTGTGTGGTCCTGCGCCATCCTCATAATCGTTATCTTTTTGAGTCCATTGTTGCAGCCACTGTGTCAGTCCATCACGTTGAGGGTCATCCTCTTTTTCGCTGACTCTCTACTTTATCAAGCATGGTGTCCTCCAGAGACTGGTCCCTCGTGATAACATGTCCAAAGTATATGAGACGAAGTCATGGTCTCCTGAGGGTTAAATGAGTTGGTGCTCTGACCAATTCCTGGCACGCTGTGAGGGCTGAGTCAAGGTGTGCTGTTTCTGCTAGTACTGCTGTTGTTAACTACTATTACTGTTATGATTATTTTTCTACAACGACTACAAGCCAGGAACAGTGCCAAGCACTTAACCTACACTGTCTCTCCTTTGACGTCTAAGCTGTTATTTTCCTTTTTTCCAGACATACAAAGGGAGACTTGAGATTAAGTAACTTGCGGGTGATGACATAGTCGGTAAGGGACAGAGCTAGAATTTGAACTCTGGCAGTCTTGCTCCAGAGCCTGCACTCTAAATGCTATAGTAGACTATCACAGGGCAGCTACTGTGTGGATGTCAGGAAGAGGAGCAGGAAAACAGATGAACAGAATGCAGTGTGGTGAGTGAAACCACAGAGTGTAGACCAGGAGGATAAAGGAGAAATGCCATTGTGAGCTGGAGCAGAGGAGGGGGGAGGCATTTGAGCCATGCCAAGAAGGATGAGTCCCCACTCAGAAGTGGGTGAGGCATCATCTACATCCGAATTCAGGAGGAAGAGTGTTTTGAGAAGGTGATGAGTTTTGTTTTAAAAATTGAAGAGCACCTAGTCCAACAACTAGGTCGTTTTACAGATGAGGAAACTGTGCCAGGAGAAATTGTGACTCAAGAGATCTCTCTGAACTCAGGGCATGTTGGAAGTCTTTGATACAGGTTTCCTAGATTCCAGTCTATTGTTCTTTCAAATTCAAAACAGTTACTTCATTTAAAAAGTTAGGAGACAGCGGTGGAAAGTTCATTAGAGATGCTGGAATGCAGGGGGTATGTAGGTGCAAAAATATGGCTCCACACTGTGGTTGGAGACTTTAGGGGTCATGGTACATGTGAGGACACAGGCCCACAGAGGCAGAGTAGCTTGCCACACAGGGGTGGCCTTGGAACCCAGCTCCTTCAACCCTGAGTTTAGCACTCTTTTAAACTGAAAAAGTATTTTGAGATAGCTGTGTTGGTTTACCACTGAGACCTTTGGGGGCCAGAGGTGGTTCTTAACCAAACCAAAACCAAACTCATTGCTGTCAAGGCGATTCTGACTCATCGCAACCCTCTAGGCAGAGTAGAACTGCCCCATTGGGTTTCTAAGGCTGTGGTCTTCACAGAAGTGGACCGCCACATCTCTCTCCTACAGAGTGGCCAATGAGTTCCAACCCCCTATCTTTTGGTTAGCAGCCGAGTACTTTAACCACTGTGCTACCAGGGCTCCTCTTCAGGCAGGTCTTAAAAAAAGACCAAACCCTGTTGCCGTTGAGTTGTTTTTGACTCATAGTGACCCTATAGGACAGAGTAGAACTGCACCATAGTATTTCCAAGAAATAGCTGGTGGATTCAAACCGTCAACCATTTGGTTAGCAGCCAAAGTCTTAACCACTGTGCCACCAGAGGCGGGTCTTAGAAGTTGTAAAATTAATCCCTGTTTTAGGTCTTAGTTTGGTGGAGCACCTTTTGTCTCATTAGAGCCTTCCACTGATGAGCCCACCCAGTTTGTCAGGTAACTCAGCAGCCTGGGAGACTCACCTGTGAGGGTGGACTACTCTGACACAAATGGAGCAGAAGATGGAGGACTGGTCTGAGGGTGAACAGGCCCGCCACCCACGCAGGCTTTCAAGAACCTGCCCCTGGAGAGAGGAGAGTCAGCTGATTAGCTGGTATCCCACAGGTGTACAGGTCTGCCTTGTTCATTCCAGAATATCTCGTGGTTAGGTGCTATGGTCGCTAAGCTGACATGATCACCTACTTTTTATATCCAGAACTGGTAATTTTCTCTAGGAAAATTATCTTAGGCTCCTAGGGGCTTACAGCCTAAGGTGGGGGCACAGGACAGATATGATTCCCACTAGAGATAAAAATTTAAACCTGAAAGTTCGTGTATATTTTGTGAAACTACTTCTCACTAGATTTTTATATGCCTGCAGATCTATTAATTGCACAAGGGTTTTTTTATTTAAAACAGTACTTGCTAAACAAGGGGAATATTTAACTGAATTCTAATAAATCATGGTCTTTTTTTTTTTCAGAGTTTTTTTTTTTTTTTTTAATTGTACTTCAGGTGAAGGCTTACAGAACAAATAGTTTCTCATGAAACAGTAGTACACATGTTGTTTTATGACATTGGTTAACAACCCCACAACATATTAACCTTCTAAATTCTCAACCTTTCTTTTTTTTTTTTTGTGAAAATACACATAGCCAAAGATACACCGTTTCAAAAATTTCTACATACACAGTTCAGTGACATTGAATACGCTCTTCCAACTGTGCTGTTATTCTCACTTAAGATGAAGGCTTACAGAACAAAATAGTTTCTCATTTAACAGTTACTACAAATGTTGCCCTATAACAATGGTTAACAATCTCACAAAACATCAACAATATCCTTACTCAACCTTGGGTTCCCTATCACCAGCTTCCTTGTCCCCTTCTGCCTTCTGGCCCTTGTCACTGGACTCCTGTACCTCGTTAGTCTCATTTGGTTTTACAGGGCTGTCCACTCCCAGGCTAAACAGTGAACCTCGGAGGGGTAACTTCACCACTGAGCTAAAAGGGTGTCTGGGGGCCATACTCTTGGGTTTTCTCCAGTCTCCTTTAGGCCAGTAAATCTGGTCTTTTTTTTTTTTTTTGTGAATTAGAATTAAGCTCTGCATCCTTCTCCAGTCTGTCCAGAACCCTCTGTTGTGATCCTGGTCAGAGCAGTCAGTGGTGGTAGCCAGGCACCATTTAGCTGTACTGGACTCAGTCCGGTGGAGGCCTTGGTAGCTGTGGACAATTAGTCCTTCGGACTAATCTTTTCCTTGTATCCTGTTCTCTTCATTCTCCCTTGTTCCCGAAGGGATGAGACCAGTGGAGTATCTTAGATGGCTGCTCACAGGCTTTTAAGACCTCAGACACTACTCACCAAGGTAGAATGTAGCGCATTGTCTTTATAAGCTGTGTCATGCCAATTCATCGTCTTTTTTTTAACCAGCTAATGAAAGGAAGGTAAAAGTTGCTCTTCGTTCACCAGGAACAGTATCTTTCCTTGTATTTGAGCAGTATTCAGTAGTTGATTTTGTAATTATACCAGTAGTGCCAAAACGTCTTTGCTAATGCATGTATTTTGGCTCTAAAAGTATATGGGGTCACTTCTCTTCAGACGGAGCACTGGTAGTGCAGTGGTTAAAAGCTGGCTACTAACCAAAAGGTGGACAGTTCAAATCCACCAGCCGTTCTTGGAAACCCTGTGGGGTGGTTCCACTCTGTCCTGTGGGGTTTCTATAAGTAGGTATCGACTTGACAGGAACGAGTTTGGTTTGATTTCTCTTCAGATGGTTGACAAACCTATTGTTTAACAGTTAATGAATTTCAAAATTCTGAAGTCTTATCCTTCCAAGGGAAAAAAAATTTTGCCTCAAGGTGGATAGTAGGAAAAACTCCTTTGGCCTTTTCTTATTCTTGAAGTACAAAGCAAAATACTGTTCCTTTTTTCCTTTTTTTTGGTAGTAACCTTTTAAGACCTTTTTTTTTTCAGTTAATAATAAATTATTTATGTACTTTCGTCATGCTTGATTGTGTCTATAGGGCTATTGATTTTTGATGAGATATATAAATATGAGTCTGGATCGACCTGATGGCAACAGGTTTGTTTTTTTTTTATGTATATAAATCAAGGATAAATATAGTACAGATACAGTTGGCTTTGGGGAATTAATGAATGCATATCAATATCAGTTTATATATTCTAGGAGGATGGACTCAGGCAAATTCTGGAAGAGATGAAAGCTTTATATGAACAAAACCAGTCTGATGTGTAAGTTTTGATAAGATTGATATTTTAAAACCGTTTAAGAAAGAAGATGTTGACTCAGATAATCTTGTATCATATTTTGGGTTTTTTTTTGTTTGTTTTTAATTCTCTATATACTTGATTATATTCTAGCATACAAAGTAGCACAGAACTAGAGGGATTTGTAGTCGTCATTATTGTATCCTTAAGGAGAATGCTTAATAAATATTTGTTTGACTGATATGACTTGAGAGGAATTAGGGCAGAATTAAAGAGACGAGACTTAAGCAAATAAAAACCCTACCAAAGTGGAATACATACATCATTTTCACTGTTTGTCTTCATTAATAGATGCCTTCAGGGCTCCTAATAGATGCCTTAGTGCATTTGGTAAAGGGAGAATGGGAAATTTGTAAACATTGTAGGAGCAGCAGTGATTTATGGTAGCTTGCGTGGAGTTTACTGAGAACTAGTGCTGCAAAAGGCTATAGCTCAGGAGGGCTCTAGACTTATTAAGAGCCGAGCATGGTATTTGCACAATGGAAAATTTGGGTTGTAAGACAAATTAATAGGGTCCTATGACTTGGTGAAAAGTACCAATGAAAGAGTACTAGGTAATGGTTCAAAGTTGAGGTTTTCAGGACCTTAACCTAGACAGAAGTCTGACTCTGTGACATGTGGTTTCATCTTTGGCCTTGTTAGGTACAGTGTTTTTTCAGTTACTTGGATACAGAAGTCAGTGGCATGCTGATAAGATTTATAGAACACAAAACCATAGGAGCATTTCCAACTGCTATGTTTGAGGATAGATAGAGAAAAATCTTTACAAACAAAATGGGGAAGTAAGTGACAGGTTCTGAACCTTGCATTAAATGTGAGATAAATATCCTAAAATTTGGTCCCCAAGCCATTCATCCATTCAACCAACAAATATTTATTAAACAATTAACGTGCCAATGAGTGGCTCTGGTAAGCCACACAGTCAAGATTCCTGCCCTCATGGCACTCACAGTGTAGGGGGGAAGACAGATATTAAATACGGATAGACAAAAAAACCTACTTACACTTGGGATACTTGTTGTGAAGGAAAATAACAGAGTGATGTGAGAGAAAAACAAATTGAAGACATAATTTAGGCTGTGTTTTAGTTATCTAGTGCTGCTATAACAGAAATACCACAAGTGGATGGCTCTAACAAACGGAAGTTTATTCTCTCACAGTCTAGTAGGCCAGAAGTCTGAATTAAGGGCGCCAGCTCCAGGAGCAGGCTTTCTTTCTTTGTCAGCTCTAGAGGAAGGTCCTTGTCATCAGTCGTCCCCTGGATTAGGAGCTTCTCTGCGTAGGAACCTTGAGTCTAAAGGACTCGCTCTTCCCCCCGCTTCTGTTTCTTGGTGGTATGAGGTCCCCTGTCTCTCTGCTTGCTTTTCTCTTTTTTATCTCAGAAGAGATTGGCTTAAGACACAATCTAACCTCGTAGATCTCATCAACATAACTGCCACTAATCCATCTCATTAACATCATAGTGATAGGATTTATGACACAGGAAAATCATAGTGGATGACAAAAAGGTGGATAATCACAGAGTGCTGGGAATCATGGCCTAGCCAAATTGATATACATGTTTTGGGGGACACAGTTCAATCCATGACAAACTGAAAGGCAGGAAAGTTCTCTCCAAGGAAGAGATGTTTTGGCTAAGGCCTGAGGAGAAGCAGGTTTGAGCGAGGCAATAATTGTGGGGAGAAAGCATTGAGGGCAGAGGGAACAGGTCTGCCACAGCCTTGAATTATGAGAGAGGACAGGATGCTCGTGAAACTGATACCAGAGGAAGGCCAGTGTGACTGGGGTTTAGCGGGGGCACAAGTGACACTCGAGATTTTTGAGTTTGTGGGTGGGTGGTGGCACATTATGTTTTAGGTAGTCTGGCCACCATGTGGACTGAGGCTAAGAGTGGAGGGAGGCCCACTGGTCAGGAGACTGTTGGCATCACCCAGGTGGTAGAAGATTGACCCGTACTGGAGTAATGACAGAAGGCAAACAGTGAACAGGTGAGAGAAATATTTCAGAGGTAGCAAAGCAGGCCTTGGTCCTGGAGGGTAGGGGAAGGAATAATTCCCCTGTATTTGTACCATTTGCAAATTCATGATTCAAAATTCTGTCCCCCATCCTCTGGGTGTCCTGGGAAAACAATCACTGTTATCAATTCCTGGTTAGTTATTTGTCAGAAGAAATCTTTTCCTTTTTAATTACCCATGTGTAAATGTGATTTTTTTTTTTAAGGACATCCTTATGTACTTAATAAAGTACTTGGTGTTAGGTGGGTGTATTTTATTTGTACAATGGAGAATAAATCTGACTCATAGGGTGGCAGAACAGAGCTAGAAGGCGTGACAGGATGGGATGTGCATGTACAGTGCCTGGAATGGAGCATGGGTGAATCCTTTTTGTATTCATCCAGTTGCTTTAAAAACTCCAAAGTAGATTCTTACTCATTCTGTGAATTGGTTTTAAAATGTGATGCCTGTCTAGTGTCTAAGGAGATGTGCGTTTTATAGGGTGAAACCAAAATTTTCTCCCTGTCTGTGTGAATAAAACTGAAGTATAGCACATAAATATAGTTGGGGATCAGCAAATATTTGTTGAACGAGTGAAGAACCATACTGACTCCATTTTAACTTACTTTATCATAGCAAGGATTTGGAAGTACCACCAAAAGAGGAGTACTACGTGTAATAAAAACATGATGTAAGACCATACTGTTAGGTATGTGATGTTAGGCTTGTCTCTTACCCCAGCATGATAAACGAATTCCAGAAGTGTAAACACGATGTCTGTCTTTTGGAAATAATAGAGATCTATCAGCATGCAAAAATGCAGAGTGCCAAATGGTTAAATGAAATGTATCTGGTATAGTATCATCTTAGACAAGTTAGTTAACTTTTGGCTTTGTTTTTTTTATCTTTTAACATTTTAATAAAAGTTCTGAAATGAAGCAGGCACAGTTTGCTTAGGTTAACTGTTAAACACAAGTGGGTAAAAATGGGCATGTACGTCCGTGGTTAGTTGGCTTTGAAAAATATCATCGGAAAAAAAATCTGATTTAAATTTTCTTACTCTGAAATGTGCGTGTTTGTCCTTTTCCTCTTTAAATGCTCTTACCAGGAACGAAGCAAAGTCAGATGGACGAAGTGATTTGATACCAACCATCAAATTTCGACACTGTTCTTTGTTAAGAAATCGACGCTGCACTGTAGCATACCTGTAAGCTGTTCCATATTTGCTTGCAGTGGCAGGGGACAAAGGAGAGTTTTCCTTGTGGTTTCCCAGTTAAGTTTCAAGTTGACAGCAAGAGATCTTAGATTTGTCTCTCTCTCTATAAACACTCTAAATCTTTTTTTCTAGTTTTAAAATGTTTTATTGTAAAAAATTGCAACATTCACAAAAGCAGGAAAAATGATATAATGAACCCCTTGGAGCCATCAAATAGACTTAACAATTTTTAACATTTTGCCCTGATTTATTTATTTATGCTAATCTGTTTTAAAGCAAATACCAAGCATTGTAACATCTCACCACTAAATACTTAGCATGCACCTCTAAGAAATAAGGGCCTTTCTGATCTTTTCTCACATAACTGCTGTCTTGTCATGCTTACCACAATCAACAATGCCTCAGTGGCATTAATCCAGTCCAGACTCATATTTTCTGGTTGCCCCAAAGATGTCTTAAGTCCAGACACGACAGCTTGGTTGGTGTTGAGTCTTGAATCTTTCCTGATAGAGCAATTTCTGATCCCTTCATTCTTCTTGTGCTGTCTAACACCGTCTTACTCTCCTAGGTATGACCGGTTACTTCGAATCAGAGCACTCAGGTGGGAATATGGCAGTGTCTTGCCAAATGCTTTACGATTTCACATGTCTGCCGAAGAAGTAAGTCAGCACCATTATTCACGTTCATGAGTTCAGAAAAATGCTGAGGTTCTGGCATTGTCCTGTAATAGTGTTTATTGGTATTTTTCTTTTTGATTTTAACAGTGACTTCAGCATTTTTGAACTGTATTTAGTATTTATCGTGATGGGGAATTTAAAAAAAAAAACCATTGCTGTCAAGTCAGAGTAGAACTGCCCCATAGGGGTTTCCACGGCTATAAATCTTTACGGAAGCATATTGCAACATCTTTCTCCCTCAGCAGATTGCCACATCTTTTTCCTTCGGGGCGGCTGGTGGGTTCCACCCGCTGACCATTCAGTTAGCAGCGGGGTGCTTAACCACTGTGCCACCAGGGCTCCTTCTGGGAAAGGAATACAAAAAAAAAAAAAAAAAAAAAGTTGCTATCGAGTAGATTTTGACTCATGCTGACCCTATAGGACAGAGTAGAACTGCCCCATAAGGTTTCCAGGGAGCAGCTGGTGGATTCAAACTGCTGACCTTGTGGTTGGCAACCGAGCTCTTAACCACTGCGCCACCAGGGCTCAATTCTATTATTAACAAAATAAAGGGTCCTATTTATTTATTAGTAATTCATCAGTGGGATTAAAAAACTGGCATCATTATTTAGAGATTTTCCATAAAATGTATTCGTACATTCCTGATCAGCATGAATATTTGTAATGAAACTTGATCTGTCCTGTCACTGAGGTACACGCTAGCCCAATATTTAAGGACATAGGATTGAAGTCTGCCAGACTTGGGTTCAAATCCTGACTCCGCTTCTGCTGCTTTCTGATCCTGGGCAAGTAACCTGATCTCTCTATGACTTAATTCCCTCATTTACAAAATGGGGTTATAGTACCTCCTATTACAGGGTCCTTACAGGGTGATTCAGGCTGCCCATGTGGAACACAGCATAGGACAGGATGTAATTGATAAATGCTAATGGTTATTACATGAGTTTAGCATAGTACATCATTTAGGAAAGCAAGCATTCAGTGTGTTTGCCATGAGCTTCTGTACATTTTTTAAAATGGCGGTCTACTTGCTAACAAACTAAGTTTCATTGCTTTGTTTTCATTGTCTGTGTTCTGGAGAAACATGACTAATCTCTACCTCAGACTTTCAGGGTAACTGCAGAATGATTATATGTTAGTAGTTCAGTTTTCAATTTCTTATTTCCACGGTCTTTGTGCCTGAAACTACTTATATTAATTGAACTTTGGGATATGTCTTGTTTATTACAGTGAAATGAACAGGACACCATGTTATTTCTCTAAGGACAGTAGCTGCAGTGATTTTTCTCATACGGTATTTTAGATTAGTATATGTCCTGTAGGATTTTATCTTAAAATTTAAATAGTCAGTAGATTAGTAGATAATTAGTAGATTAAACGTAGATAAAGAAATGCTCAGGTTTGTCATGCATAAACTTATTTAGTTTATTGCAAGGTAGTCATGGCAAAGCACGCAAGTAAGACCTCAAGACGCTCATGTTAAAACTGGAGAATCAGAATTAACAATTACAATGTTATTTTAATGGTTAGTCCCAATCTTTAGACTTCAGACACTTTTATGAGAGGTCTCGGGAGGAAGGCTTGACCACAGCTCGAACTCAGTGGAGGTCCCTTGTAGACAGGGTCCAGAGTTGACAGCAGGCAGAGTCTCTGCAAGCTCTCGGTCTTTAGAGAGAGTCAGAGTGTGAACCAAAATTCACTATACGTATGTGAATTTTTAACTTTGGCCTCACACGATAAGGGCTAGGTGATATCACGTTTAACAAAGACTATTAGTGTGTCACTTTTTTTTTCTTTAATGTCGACAGTTAGGGAATTGTTTACAACTTGAAGGTGCCCTGGTGGAGCAGTGGTTGAAGTGCTCAGCTCCTACCGAATTGTCAGAGGTTCGAACACACCAGCCTCTCTCCATGGGAGAAAGATGTGGCAGTCTGCTTCCATAAAGATTTACAGCCTTGGAAACCATATGGTGCAGTTCTACTCTGTCCTATAGTGTTGCTGTGAGTCGAAATCGACTGGATGTGAATGGGTTTGCTTTGGTTTTAGAGTCTCAAGTCACCTTACAGAGATACAATTTAATGTCATAATTCCTTTATCATTATCGTGTGTGTGCTGAGCCAACTTAGGGAGGTTTCTGTCATATCATGTATGGGACAAGCTTACTTAGGTGTATATCATGTCATGTATGTGACAAGCCAATTTAGGGAGGATTAACTATGTTACATCATTGCAACGTACTTCATATTTTTTTATTTCTAGTTTAGAAATTCCCTATCTGGTTATGAGTTATAGTTTCTTTATCATAGAACGTGGGTGCAGTGGCAACGTCTAGAGGTTCTTAACCACATTCTTCTGGTTATCAATTTCTAAAGTTAGAAATTTTCTAAATTTTCTTTTTTTCCCCTCACTGTAATTCCTTTATTTTTTGTATATAAGTGTTGTACCAACACTACAACCATAAAGAATGCAATTGCAAGTACTATATTTTTTAGTTTGGGGAGATCATAGTGTACAGACTCATTTACTTATGTTAGACAAGATTAACCTCATTCAAAACTTAACTGCATTTTATAAATTCACATAAATGCAGAATTAAATGCAATTAAACAAAAAATTCAATATCTTATTTTTTTTAATTCTTAAGTTATTAGGTTATAACTTTTTCTGCAGGCTTTTTTTTTCTTTAATTATTAAAAAATATACCAGTTTTACCATCTAAGCATACATCCCTTTTTAATCCTTTTTAATCCCGTTTAATCATTTGTATTGTGCAGTCTAACTTATGTGTGTGTACAGGTGCACAAAACGAAGTCATACAGCTTAATGATGTATCGTTAAGAAATACCCTGGTCAAGCAATAACACATCCCAGCCCCAAAAGTTTTGTTCCTCCTGTCCAGTGGTCACCACTCTCCTGAGAGGAGACTAATCACTTTGTTGCTTTTTAAAATTTTATTTTACCACCTAAGCATGCATTCCTAAACACTATAGTGTTGTTCATTTTTTGAACTTTAAATAGGTTCACACAGTATTTATAATTTTGTGACCGACTTCTTTCACTAAACATATTTTTTGAGATTCTACTATGTTGATGTGTAAGCTATAGTTCATTTCTTTTCATTGCTGTGTATTATTCTAAGAAGAGACTGCAATTGATAGTTGATCCTATTTCTGACTTTTGACTGTGATGACCATTGCTATTATGAACATTCTTCTTGTACATGTGGTAATAAGTACACATTTCTGGTATATACCTGGGCATGGAATTGCTGGTAGAGGGACCATATATTTGAGTTTATGCCTGTTGTTTGGCATAATTTTTTTTTTTATTGTACTTTAGATGAAGGTTTACGGAACAAACTAGCTTCTCATTAAACAATTAGTACATGTATTGTTTTATAACATTGGTTCCAACCCCACAACATGTCAACACTCTCCCTTCTCAACCTTGGGTTCCCTATTACCAGCTTTCCTGTCCCCTCCTGCCTTTTAGTCCTTGCTCCTGGGCTGGTGTGCCCCTTTAGTCTCGTTTTGTTTTATGGGCCTGTCTAATCTTTAGCTGAAGGGTGAACCTCGGGAGTGACTTCATTACTGAGCTAAAAGGGTGTCCGGAGGCCATACTCTCGGGGTTTCTCCAGTCTGTCAAGCCAGTAAGTCTGGTCTTTTTTTTGTGAGTTAGAATTTTCTTCTACATTTTTCTCCAGCTCTATCTGGGGCCCTTTATTGTGATCCCTGTCAGAGCAGTCAGAGGTGGTAGCCGGGCACCATCTAGATATACTGGACTCAGTCAGGTGGAGGCCATGGTAGTTATGGTCTATTACTCTTTTGGACTAATCTTTCCCTTGGGTCTTTGGTTTTCTTCATTCTCCTTTGCTCCCGATGGGGTGAGACCAGTGGAGTATCTTAGATGGCCACTCACAGGCTTTTAAGACCCCAGACGCTACTCACCAAGGTAGAACGTAGTACATTTTCTTTATAAACTATGTTATGCCAGTTGAGCTAGATGTTCCTCAAGACCATGGTCCCCACAGCCCTCCGCCCAGCAGTTCGGTCCCTCAGGTAGTTTGGATGTGTCTATGGAGCTTCCATGACATTTCCTTGTACAAGTTGTGCTGGCTTCCCCAGTATTGTGTCCTGTCTTACCCTTCACCAAAGTTACCACTTATCTGTTATCTATTTAGTGTTCTTCCATCTCCACCCATCCCTTCCCTCATAACCATAAAAGATTGTTTCTTTTTGTGTGTAAACCTTTTCATGAGTTTTTATAGTGGTCTCATACAATATTTGTCTTTTTGTGATTGACTTATTTCGCTCAGCATAATGCCCTCCAGATTCATCCATGTTGTACGATGATCCGCAGATTCATCATTGTACTTTATCGTCGCATACTACTCCATTGTGTGTATATACCATAGTTTGTTTATCCATTCATCTGTTGATGGCATCTAGGTTGATTCCATCTTTTTGCTATTGTGAACAGTGCTGCAGTGAACATGGGTGTGCATATGTCTATTTGTGTGACGGCTCTTATTTCTCTAGGATATATTCCTAGGAGTGGGATTGCTGGATCATATATTTCTATATCTAGCTTTCTAAGGAAGTGCCATATTGTTTTCCAAAATGGTTGTACTGTTTTGCATTTCCACCAGCAGTGCATAAGAGTTCCTATCTCCCTGCAGCCTCTCCAACATTTGTCATTTTCTGGTTTTTTGATTGGTGCCAGTAATGCCAGGGTGAGATGGTGTCTCATTGTGGTTTTGATTTGCATTTCTCTAATGGCTAGTGATCGCAACCATTTCCTCATGTGTCTGTTGGCCACTTGAATGTCTTCTTTGGTGAAGTGTCTGTTCATTTCCTTTGCCCATTTTTTAATTGGATTATTTGTCTTTTGTTGTAGAGGCATTGAATTTTCCTGTAGATTTTAGAGATTAGACCTTTATCGGATTTGTCATCGCCAAGAATTTTTTTCCCAGTGTGTAGGTTTTCTTTTTACTCTTTTGGTTAAGTCTTTTGATGAGCATAAGTGTTTAATTTTTAGAAGATCCCAGTTATCTAGCTTATCTTGGAGTTTGTATGTTGTTAGTTATGGTTTGTATCCTGTTAATTGGCATAATTATTAATATCTCTTCGCATTCTTAAAAATGTCCTAAACTCTTTTTATAATAAGTTATATGAACAACATAAATTATATGGTCACTCAAATACAGGCTTTTTCAACCTCAGCACTGTTGACATTTTGGGCTGTCCTGTGCATTGTAGGGTGTTTAGCTGCATCCCTGGCCTCTACCCATTAAATACCAGTAGCACCGCACTCCAGTTGTGAGAACCAAACATGTCTCCAGATGTTGCCAAATGTGCCCTGAGAGGCAGAATCGCCTCGGTAGAGAACATAGAGAACCACTGGCTTAGTCTATAGGGTATGTATATTTTCACTAGATACTACCAAATAACTTTTCAAAGTGGTTGTCCCCTTTACCTTCCCATCAGCAGGATATGCAGGCTCCTGTTGCTCCATATCTGTTCCCATACATTGTCTGTCCTTCTATTTTTAGCCACTCTGGAGAGTATCTAGTGGTATCTCATTTTTATTTTAATTTGCATTTCACTGATGATTAATTGGGCTGAGCATCTTTTTATATGTTTATTGGCCATGTAGATATTCTCTCTGTGAAGTACATGTTCAAGACTAATTCATTTTTTTACTTTATGTCTGTTTATAAGATCATGAACATTTGGGTCTTTTTCTTATTGATTTGTAGGATTTCTTCATAAATTCTGTTTTTTTATGTCCTTTGTCAATTATGTGTGTTGCAGATATTTTCTGCACTTTGTGGTTTCCCTTTTCACTTTCTTAATGGCATCTTTTGATAAGCAAAAATTCCAGATTATTCAGCTGATCCAACTTACCAATTTTTTCCTCTATGGTTAGTTTTTTGTGTCTAATTTAAGAAATCATTTCCACTTAAAAGTTATGAGGATATTTTTCTGTGTAATCCTTGAGGAGTTATGTTGTTTTACCTTTTACCAAGAGATCTACAATGGAATTGATTTTTATGTATAATGTAGGAGTCAAGTTTCATTTTGAATATGGATATGGAGATGACCTAGCACCATTTATTGCAAAGATCCTCCTTTTCCCACTGCTTTGTGTGCCACCTTTGTCATAAATTGAGTGTCCACATATATGTGCATTTTGGAGGGATGGGGACTGTCTTAGTTATCTAGTCCTGCTATAACAAGTGGATGGCTTCAACAAAGAGAAATTTATTTTCTCACAGTCTAGTAGGCTACAAGCCCAAATTCAGGGCATCAGCGCCAGGGAAAGCTTTCTCTCTCTGTTGGCTCTGAAGGAAGTTCTTCTCATCAGTCTTACCTTGGACTAGGAGCTTCTCTGTGCAGGAACCCTGGGTCCAAAGGACACCCGGTGCTTCTTTCTTGGTGGTATGAGGTTCCCCACTCTGCTTGTTTCCCTTTCCTTTTATCTCTTGTAAGATAAAAGGTGGTGCAAGCCACACCCCAGGGAAACTCCCTTTACATTGGATCAGTGATGTGACCTTAGTAAGGGTGTTACAATTCCCCACTAATCCTCTTTAACATAAAATTACAATCACAAAATGGAGGACAACCACACAATTCTGGGAATCATGACCCAGCGAAATTGATACGCACATTTTTGGGGAGACGTAATTCAATCCATGACAGGGACCTTCGCTTCTTTTCCATTAGTCTATTTGTTCTTGCACCAGTTCCACACTGTTTTAATTACTGTAACTGTATAACATCTAGAGCAAGCCTTCTCATCTTGTTCTCCTTTTTCGAGAGCATCTCAACTGTTTTTGGCTGTTTGCATTTCCATATGAGTTTTACACTCAATTTGTCAAGTTCCATTTTTAAAAAATGTCAAGATTTTGATTGAGATTGAGTTGAATCTACAGATGAGTTTGGCAAGAATTGACATTATTAGAACATTGAATCTTCTAATCTATCAGCATCGTATATTTTTAATTTCAACAATTTTTTTTTAACAGATTTATTAAGATATAATTTACATACTATAAATTTCACCCTTGCAAAGAGTCCAGTCAGGTGGTTTTTAGTATATTCACAGAGTTATGCATTCATTATCACCATCTAATTTCAGAACATTTTCATTACCCCAAAAAGAAATGCCCTACCATTAGCAGTTCCTCCCAGTCCCCCAGCCCCTGGCTACTAGTAATCTACTTTCTACATTTATGGATTTACCTATTATAAACCTTTCATATAAATGGAATCATAAAATATGTGGCCTTTTGTGTCTTTCATTTTGATAATGTTTTCAAGATTTATCCATGTTGTACATATCAGAACTTAATTCTAAAATATGGCTGAATAATACTCTGTTGTATGGATATACCATATTTTGTTTATCCATTCGTTAGTTAATGGACACTTGTATTGTTTTCTCAACAATGTTTTACAGTTTTCAGAAATGGAGTCCACAAAGAATTTAAAGAGATCATAATTCTGGAACTGTATTTTTCATGGTTTTGTTTCTGGTTGAATGTTTTCTAGGTCTGTATTAAATATGCCGGTTTGTAAGCTCTGTGAGAACAACAATTTTTGTCCGTTTTCTTGAAGGATCCATCCTAAGTACATAGACCATTGCCTGGCTTATAGAAGGCAACTAGTAGTGTTTGTTGTAGAAATGAATGGATGGTCACACTCATGATCTATGTGGGGCTATGTGCTGTTTTTGAAGGAATGATTACACAATTTCTGCAAGCTTGTTTTCTTTGTAACTTGGTGAAATGACCTTTTTGTGTTTTCAGATGGAGTGGTTCAATCGTTATAAAAAGTCTCTTGCTACTTATATGAGATCATTGGGAGGAGAGGAAGGTTTGGATGTTACACAGGATATGAAGCCTCCAAAAAGCCTATATATTGAAGTAAGTTTACCGCTTCAGAATGGGTTTTCATTCAATGTGTGTGTTATGCTACCTTTTATATATGAAGGGAATATATGAATATATAATAGTTTATATTAAAAAAGGAAGACACCAGTGTTCACAATAGCCAAAAGGTGGAAGCAACCTAAATGTCCATCAACAGATGAATGGTTAACAAAACGTAGTACATACATACATAGACTGTTACTCAGCCATAAAGACAAATGAAGCCTTGATACATGCTACAACATAGATGAACCTTGAAAACGTTACACTGAGTGAAATAAGTCAGTTACAAAAGGGCAAACATAGTATAGTCCCACTTACAGGAAATAAGCAAATGTATAGAGACCAAAGTTCATTAGTAGTTATCAGGGATGGGAGGGAGAGGGAAAAGGAGGAGTCTTCCCTTAGGGGACACTTAGTTTCTGATAATGATGGAAACGGATAATGGTAATGACTGCATGTTTATGAAGACCATAACCTATTTCACTGAATTGTACATGTGAAAAATACTGAATTGGCAAATGTTTTGTCACATATATTTTTACCACAATTAAAAAAATATATAATTTTTTTACAAAAAGAAAGGAGGCATAAACCAAACACAAAAAGTTACCTATAGGGGGATGATGGAAACAGCATGGAACAACTGAAGTTTTCTGGATGTACCTTGTAAAAGTTTTAACTTTGGAACTCTGTAAATGTTTAGCTTTTTTTTCCCCCCTTTTCTTTAAAATTTTATTATGGTAAAATATACATAACAAAAAATCTGCCATTTTAATCATTTTTAAGTGTATAATTTAGTGACATTAATTACATTCACCCTGTTGTGCTGCCTTCATCACCGTCTATTTCAAATGTTTTTCATTACCCTAAACAGCAACTCAATATCCCTTAAGTAATAACTCCCCAGTTCCTCCCGTTTTCCCCAATCCCTGATAACCGCTAATAAACTTTTGTCTGTATGCATTTGCCTGTTCTAGGTATTTCATATAAATGGGATGATATAGTATTTGTCCTTTTATGTCTGATTTACTTCACTCAGCATAATGTTTTCAAGGTTCATCCATGTCTTAGCATGTATCCGTGGGATAAAGGACCTAGTTTTACCCTAAGTAAGGTGGCCTTTGTCCTTGGCACTGGAGAAATAACCCTTAGAGTAACTGAGGTGCCTTGGTCTGGGACTTCTAGGCCATGCCTGAGAATGTGTGTTGGTGAGTGGGTGCTGGCCAAATCAGAAAAGACTCACCTGGGAGGTGATACCAACTAGCCTCAGGAGGCATCGTGATTTAGCCTATCCTGCAGGCCTGGCCAAGAAAAAGCTCTAAACACGGAGGCTCAGAGAGCTTCCTGGTTGATGAAAACATTTGCTGTCAGGAGGGTAGTGCATCCTTTAGGAACTCTCCCAGACTTTGCCCTGTGTGTCTCTTCATTTGTATCCCTAACTTTAGGCTGTAATAAATCTGTAGTAGTAGGTATGGTATACTCTCTGTGGATTCTGTGAGTCATTCCATCAAATTATCAAACCCAGAGGGCCCGTAGGAGCCAGGAGGTCAGAAAGTAAGGGTGTTGAGTGGACTCCCGAGCTTGCAGCTGGCATCCTGAAAGGATAGTTGGAAACCAGCTCCGAACTTGCAGCCAGCAGGTCGGAAAGTTTCGGTGTCATGTGGACTCCGCAAACTTGCGGCTCTTGCCTGCCTGTTTGGCAGTCAGAAGGACCGTGTCATTTTATCTTGTGAGCTCTGACCTAGCTCTAGGTGGCTAGGGTCGGAGAGAGTGCCGCAGGAGCAGCTGGCGATAAGGATCGAGAAGTAGGAATGTAAGGACAGGGTCAGTCTCTGCATTTTGAGGGTTCGATTCATGCTGATCCTTACTGTGCAGTATCAAAATTTCATTTCTCTTTGTAGCTCAGTAATACTCCATTGTATTGATATGCCGCATTTTGTTGATCCATTCATCTGCGATGGACACTTGGGTTGCTTTCCGAGTTTGGCTTTTGGCTATTGTGAATAATGCTGCAATGAACATTGGTGTACAAGTACATGTTTGAGTCCCTGCTTTCAGTTCTTTTGGGTATATACCTAGAAGTAGAATTGCTGGGCCATGTGGTAATTCTTTAACTTTCTGAGGAACCACCAAACTTTCTCACAGTGGCTGCCCCATTTTACATTCCCACCAGCAATGGATGTGGGTTCCAATTTCTTTACATCCTCACCAACACATATTATTTTCCGTTTTTCTGATAGTAGCCAGGCTAGTAGGTATGAAGTGGTATCTCGTGGTTTTGATTTGCATTTCCCTAATGACTAATGACATTTTTTTTTTTATTGTGTTTTTGGTGAAAGTTTACATAGCAGTTTCGGTTCCCATTCAACAATTTCTATACAAGTTGTTCAGTGACATTGGTTACATTCTTCACAATGTGTGAACGTTCTCATTTCCATCATGGTTGTTCAATTTCTGTTAATCTAGTTTTCCTGCCCCCTTACGTTCTCATGTTTGTTTTAAAGTAATTGTTGACTGTTTGGTCTCATATAGGTGATTTTTTAAAGGAGCACAGTACTTATGTTTAATAGTCATTATTTTGGAAGCTAATTTATTATTTAGCTACAAGGTGACCTCAGGGATTAGTTTTGGTTCAAGATTTGAAGAGTTATCTCAGGGCAGTAGTCTCAAGGAGTCTTCCAGTCTCAACCAGTGGTGGTAGTTGTACAGGAGCCCTGGTGGCACGGTGGTTAAAGCAGTAGACTGCTAACCGGAAAGGTCAGCAGTTCGAAACCACCAGCGACTCCATGGGAGAAAGATGTGGCAGTTTGCTTCCCTAGAGACTTACGTACAGCATTGGAAACCCTATGGGGTCGCTATGAGTTGGAATCAGCTCTACGGCAGTGGGTTGGGTTGGGTTTGGATTTGGTAGTTGCATAACATGGTGAATGTAATTAATGTCAATGAATTGTATACTTAAACATGGTTAAAAGTAAATTCTATGATCATTTTATTACAATAAAAAAAAAAAGCTGCCTTATTGCATCCTCCCTCCCACTAAGAACTCTTCTGAGTCTTGTAACATGAGACCGCATCTGTCTTTTGTGGGCAAGAGTCTGAATATCAAAGGAGATTGGAAGATGCTTTCTTTGTAAAACAAAAACTTTTCAGACTCACGTTATTTCCAATTCTTATATATTGATGCTTTATGGGAGGGAGCTATAGGAGACAAGGTGAGATAAAACATTCTCTTTTCTTTGCTGGTTGCCACCATCATGTCCCTCATTTTTATTTCATCTACTTAATATTTCAGAATTTGCAGAGGGGAAAGGATCCAACTATATTGTCTCCTCTTACCCAGCTCCCGGGTTTCCTTGCTGCCATGACCAACATACACACATACACTTGGAGATTTCGTTGTTGTTCCTCCTCCCCTTCCAGACAGAGCAGTTGGGACCATTAGAATACCACAGTAAACATCTGGTTAATAGTAGGGAGTCCTAAGTACACAGAGGAGAAAAAAAAAAAAAAATAGTACTTCTACTGTGCAGGTATTTATATAACCCCCATTTATTTTATGGTCAATAAATACTTGAAAAATGATTTAGATAAAACATCAGATTTTCCTTTCAGGTGCGGTGTCTGAGAGACTATGGAGAATTTGAAGTTGATGATGGCACTTCTGTTGTATTGAAAAAAAACAGTCAGGTATTTCTTGTCTTAAAATGCAGTACTTTAAATTTTGTAAGAGGGTTGAATGAAGGAAATGTTGGAATTAGTAGCAAAATAAATACCACCTTGTGATAATCATTTATAGGTTAGGCATTATGTTTAATATAGATCACCTTGATTTGTACTTTTTCTAAGTATTAAGACACGAAGCAAATATTGCATATATAGTAAGAAAAGGTTAAATAATTTACTAACATATTGCTTGTATTTAACACTAAGCATTTTCCAGAGAAATTATCACAATGGTTAAGTAGTAGAGCATTGTTCAGAAGCTGTTAAACTGTTCGGATTAAGCTGCTTCTGTGAATTACTAATTTCTAAAATAGGTACTAAGCACTCATTTTCAGCTTATACTTCATTTTGTAAATGCAAGTTCTTTAGCAAACAAATAGTGATACCGATAAAAATTCTAAGTAGTATATGTCTTAGTTATCTAGTGCTGCTATAATAGAAATACCACGTGTGGTTTTAACAAATTTATTTTCTTACAGTTAGGTGGCTAGGACTTTGAATTCAGGGTGCTGGCTGTAGGGGGAGGCTTTCTGCCTCTGTCAGCTCTGGAGGAGGGTCCTTGTTTCTTTTGAGCTTCTGTTCCTGAGTGATCTTCATGTGGCTTGGCATTTATTTTCCCTCATCTCTGCTTGCTTGCTTGCTTGCTCAGTCTGCTCTTTTATATTTCAAAAAAGATTGACTTAAGACACATCTTATAGTCATTTACCTGACAAAGAATCATTTACCTGACAAAGAAAACTCCTTCCCAAATGGGATTATAACCACAGGTATAGGGGTTAGAATTTACAACACGTATTTTTTGAGGGCGCAATTTAATCCGTAACAATATATAAACATAAAAATTTAATAGAGAAAGATTAAACTTGTGAGGTTGTAACTTACGCTAAATTTTTACTTATAAAGTATCTCAATATAGTTACTGTTTCCATAGAAATCTTCAAATTCACATTAGTTGCTATATAACCAAAAGCTAAATTTATTTTTATCCTATTCCAATTTTCTGTAGTCTTAATATTGGAGGAAAAAAGAACCTAATGAAGACTTTCTTTCTTGTTTGCCTCCCATATTGTTACCAACCATCTAGTGTCTAATGACCCTGTTACTTTTGGAAACTGTGGTGACATAGTGGTTAAGGGCTACGGCTGCTAACCAAAAGGTCAGCAAGTTCAAATCCACCAGGCATACCTTGGAAGCCCTATGAGGCAGTTCTACTCTGTCCTTTAGGGTCGCTATGAGTCAGAATCGACTTGACAGCCATGGGTTTGGTTTTTTTGGACATTGTTATTGGTGTTGACTTTAGTTATGCTGTGGAACAAAAGAAGGCTTCAGGATAATGTGGTTCCTGGTCCGTTTCTTTAAGAGGGTGAATTGATCTATTTTACTAGTACCCTTGGAGCTTTAAAAAAAGATTATTTTTAAGCAGATAGATTTTGAGGGTGTCCTAAGATCTTTGATTGTTAAGGCACAAATTTCCCTCCCAAGTACCCTCCTAGAAGTAGGACACCAGTGAATAGAAAACAGATGATACCTTAATGCTGTCATAAAAATCTATATTTCTGGAGGACCTAGCATTAGCTCTGATTCATAAGAACAAAACTTCTCATAAAGCGAGATAGGAGGAAACATCATCTCATCCAGACACGGTTCTGAGGTTGAGTTTCTTTTCCAAGTGTTATGGCTGATGTTTCCACCAGTGTGCTGAGATACTGATTCTCAGCCCTTGGGGGGTTGGAGCTGGGGTAGGTGAAACCCCCACTGAGCCCTTCCTCCATCAGGGCGCGTGCTGGACAGTCATTTTCTCTGTGGACCATGGCATGTAGAACCTTCCTCTTGGTGATGCTCTTAACTCTGTCAGGTATCACCCTACCCTCAATTAGAAAAATGGAAAATTAAATTTAAAAACATAATCAACTATAGTTGATATTAAGGGGCTGCTAAAATGTCTGACCGTATCTAAAAATGGATTTTCTATAGAACCTATGGTGTAGATCACCTACATAATGGAGAATATCAATTGGGACATTTTCTTACCTTACCATAGATTCTTTTATACTTGTCAATATTGCAGACATGGTTTCTTTTTGTCCAGAAGACAACTATCCTCTTTTTAATAAAGGCATTAGAATAACTGTTAAATGAATAACTCAGTGTGGTTTACTTTATACACTTTAAGGCCTTCTGTAAAATTCAGTTAACAAGTTAGACAGCAGTCCTTAGACCATATGTCTGGGTGACTGGTTTGGAAGAATTTGATCACTAGCCTCTCAGATAAAGACTTCTGAAGTTTGTGAGGAAGGACCTTGAGGTGCACAGCGCTGTTCTACTTATGTTTTCCTCCGTTGAATAATGTTGATTATCTCTCTTGCTGCAGTTATTTTCTATGTTATTTGCCCTTTACTTTCTAATGTACTGCTTTTAGTTTTTACCCATGTGTGTCCTTTTTTGCCATTTCTTTGTCACGTGTGAGCTTGGAAAGTCTTCCTGCCTTGCTTCCCGCACCTCCCCACTCCCGAGTTTAGTAAATGTTCACTTTTGTTTTAATCCCTCTGTTTGGAGAGGGAACCAGACAAGAACGCTTCTCGTGGTTTTCTCCAGTTCAGAACAAGTGCGGTGACCTCTTGTCACAGAGACCGAGCTAGCAACTCGCTGGTGCCCTGACATGAGCGTCTTCACATGCAGTAGGTGACAGCACTACACATTATAGGTTAAAAAATACTTTCAATCATTGAAAAATACAGGAGAAATGTTGCCGCTGTTGTTGTTGTAAAAGAATAAACGCTCAGACTCAAATCTAGGAAAGGCTTAATGGAGAAGACGCTCCTTTTGTTGGTCTTCATAGTGAACTGTTACACCACTTACATTACAGTTGTCCAAAAATCTCACCTACCTGGATTTTTCTGTGCATAAATAAAAAATACAAATAGTAGGGAAAATGCTTAATATAATTCAGAAGTTTTTTATTGAATTTAACTTAAGCAAACTATGTAATTCATTTAAATCATTCTGATTAAAATTCAGAATTCAGTACAGCTCTAGGTGGCGTCAGTTTTAGTTGGTTAAAACAGCAAATATAGTAAGTTTAACTTTTATTTGATTAGCTTTTGGAATTTGAAAAATAAGTAATTAATGGCTGCTTTTTATTGATGTAAAATGTAATTTAAGAAATTTGTTGCCAGTAATTTCTCCACTCTCCCTTCTCCATTTTTCTCCACAGCATTTTTTGCCTCGTTGGAAGTGTGAACAGTTAATCAGACAAGGCATTCTGGAGCACGTGCTATCATAGCTGCACACTGAGATGGAGCCCAGCTCACTGAGACGTCTGTACTTCTGTCTCTGTACCCCTCCTCCCACCTCTTTGATTTAAAAGTTACAGACATCTTTTACATACAACCAGGAATACTTGGCTAAAGAGTATCACTTGCTAACCCTTAAGAGGTTTTGGTTTTTTATGTTGTATAGGATTTCCTTCTCCTTTTTGCAGCAATCTATCCATAATTATAACATTCCTATACCATTATTATGTGTTTTTTTTTTTTTTTTTAACGAAAGCCAACGTTTATTACATATGAATCTGTTTTTTAAATACTGAGAGTTGCACTTGGCTGTACAGGAGAAGGTAGACCCTGGTGATCTGTGAAGTCTTCTGGCAATGTGTTGTCAGGAATGCTGTGGCATTGTGATCAGTACAAGCCAGGGAGCCAGAAATTCTGGAATATGTTACCAGGTTACACAGACAAGGGGAGATGATGTCTATAAAACCTCTCAGTATGTATTTAACGTGTAATCACAGTACTTTATTGTCTGACTTGGGAAAAGAGTAAGAAAGGACATGGTGGGGTTTTGCCCGTTCCCCCACAGTAATGGCTAGCCCGGCGTGTGACCATCTGCGAGCTTGTGGGGTGAACACCAGTGTCTGAGTTTCCTGCAGCCTCCATAACACATTACCACAACCGAGGTGGCTTAAAACAACAGAAACTCATTCACCACCGTTCTGGAGGTCAGAAGTCTGAAATCAGGGTGTTGGCAGGGCCTTGCTCTCTCTGAAGGCTCTAGGGGAGGATCTTCCATGCCTTTTTCTCTTCGCTTCGTTAGTTGCCGGTTATCCTTGGTGTTCCTTGGCTTCTAGATAATCACTCCAGTCTCTGCTGCCTTCGTCACATGGCGTTCTTCACTGTGTGTCTCTGTGTCTAGATTTCCTCTTGTAAAGACATCAATCACTGGATTGTTGTTGTGGTTGTTAGGTGCTGTTGAGTCGATTTTTAACTCATATCGACCCCATGTGACAGAGTACAACTGTCCCATAGGGTTTTCTAGGCTTTAATTTTTTTTTTTTTTGTCTACAGTATTTTTAATTATGAAATATTTTAAATATTAACTACAGAGAATAATATTATAAACCACCACCTAGAATAAAACATGGTTATCCTTTTGTTGTATTTGCTTCAGAGTTTTTAAAGAAAGAAAACATTAAAGGTACAATCGAAATTCTCTTCGCAGCCCTGTCCTTTCTCCTCTCTCCCCGACCCCAGAAGGATGTGTGTGTATCCTTCCCATCCATGATTTATATTTTAACTCTTAAAAATAATATGTACCATTATTTGAATATTTAAACAATTTAAATAAATGGCATTATATTGTATATATCATTCTGCAATTTTTTCCCACCTATTACTATATTTTAGGGCCCTTGGAGCCCTGGTGGTGCAGTGGTTAAGAGCTTGGCTGCTAACCAAAAGGTTGGCAGTTCAAATCCACCAGCCACTTCTTGGAGACCCTATAAGGCAGTTCTACTCTGTCTTGTAGGGTCGCTGTGAGTGGGAATCGTCTTGATGGCAACAGATTTTTTTGGACCCCTGTTGATACATATAATCAATTTCATATATATATATATATCAACTTCATTCATTTTAACTCATCTAGAGAGTTCCAATTTATAAATATGCCACAATTAATATTTATCTCATCCCCTAAGTATGAGCATTTGGGTTGTTCCTAATTTTTTCCTATTATGAGCAATGCTGTAATGAACAACGTGGTATATTTTTTCTTGGGCTTATGTGGCAGAGTTTATAGTCATTTAATATTTCTTTTGACTACTGATAAATCGACTTATTTTTACTATCTTCTTTTATGATTTTTCTATTTCCCATTTCTTCTTCTTTGCTTCTCCCTTCACCTGTTTGGAAATTGTACATTCAATTTGTGTTATTTTGGTGGTTAATTGTTAGCATATATGATTAAAGAAAGTTTAGATTTAATCAATGTCCCTATCATTTTCACAAACAATATAAGGAACTTAGAATGCCAACCCTGTCCTATTGTCTATAATTTTTTGTATAATTTATTTTTGTTATTGTTGGGAATATACACAGCAGAACATAACACAAGTTCAACAATTTATGCATGTATAATTTAGTGATATTGATTATATTCTTCCAGTTATACAACCATTCTCACCTTTTCTGAGTTGTTCCGCCCCCATTAACATGAACTCACTGCCCTCTAGGTTTCCTATCTAATGTTTTGAGTTACTGTTGTCAGTTTGATCACATATAGATAGTTCTTAAAAGAGCAAAATGCTCAAGGCAGACATTCTTTATTAAGGTGAACTGTTGTTTAAGAAGAGTATGGGGGACATTAATGGTTTAAGTTTTAAAGATTATCTCAGGGCAGTAGTTTCAGGGTTCATCCAGCTTCCATGGCTCCAGAAAGTCTAGAGTCCATGATAATTTGAAATTCTGTTCTGCATTTTCCCTCTTTTGATCAGGATTCTCCTATAGAATCTTTGATCAAAACGTTCAGTAATGGTAGCTGGACACCATCCAGTTTTGGTCTCATGGCAAAGGCGGCAGTTGTTCAAAGAGGCAATTAGCCACACATTTCATTTCCTGCTCTGGTTCCTGACTCTCCTTCTTCTGTTGCTCCAGGCAGACAGAAACCAATTGTGCCTTGTAAGACCCCAAGAACCACACAATGAACTAGGAGGTCGAACAGAAGCACTAAACACATTATTAGGCCAATTAACTGGGATGTCCCATGAAAGCATGACCATAAACCTCCAAACCAAGGAACCAAATCCCATGAGGTGTTTGGTTGTACATAAGCATCTAGGCTGTAAACTTCACCAGAACAGATTGCCAGATCTTTGTCCTGCAGAGCCGCTGGGTGGGTTCGAACCACCAGCCTTTTGCTTAGCAGCTGAGCCCTTAACCGTTGCGCCACCAGAGCTCTCAGTCATTGGATTATGTCCCACCTAATCCAGTATGACCTCATCTTAACTTCATTACATCTGCAAAGACCCTATCTCCAAGTAAGGTCACATTCACAGGTACTGGGGGTTAGGACTTTTGAGGGAACACAAATCCTCTACAACCAGTGTCACCACTTTGAAAGAGAAATAGAAATTGGAGCTAGAGAAGTGTCATGGATTGAATTATATTCCCCAAAAAATGTGTATATCAATTTTGCTGGGCCATGATTCCCAGTATTGTGTAGTTGTCCTCCATTTTGTGATTGTAATTTTATGTTAGGATTAGGGTGGGATTGTATAACACCCTTACTAAGGTCACATCCCTGATCCAATGTAAAGGGAATTTCCCTAGGGTGTGGCCTGCACCACCTTTTATCTTACAAGAGATACAAGGAAAGAGAAGCAAGTAGAGAGTGGAGAACCTCATACCACCAAGAAAGCAGTGCCGGGAGCAGAGCACATCCTTTAGACCCGAGGTTCCTGTGCAGAGAATCTCCTAGTCTGGGGGAAGATTGATGATGATGAGGACCTTCTTCCAGAGCCGACAGAGAAAGCCTTCCCCTGGAGCTGACACCCTGAATTTGGAGTTGTAGCCTACTAGACTGTGAGAAAATAAATTTCTTTGTTAAAGGCATCCACTTGTGGTATTTCTGTTAGAGCAGCACTAGATGACTAAGACAAGAAGGAAATTTGAGCATTTTCCCCCCAGATTTAGGGTGACTGAAAGGTCATGGGAGGAGCTGGTTGGCTAAGTAGAGAGCAGTGTTTTCTGGTGGACTGATGGTCAGTGAGTAGTAGGAGTTGGGAGTGGCACACAGAGGTCTTCCCTTATCACTGGCCTTTGCCCTACCAGGCCCCTTTATGACCAGCTTGGCACAAATCTGAAAGAGTCAAATGTAAAAGTCCAGAGAAACAAGTACTTAGCACATACTGTGTGTACAGTTTCGTTTTTAAATAAAGGAATGTTTCTGGCCAAAATTACACTCAAGAAATAGAGGGGCTTTACTTAGGATGTGGATCTGTATGCTTTCATAAAAGACCTATTTAGGTCAGTAACCCTGGCTGCCTTTGCAGGTTATTTTCACTATTGAAAATTATTTCTCCTTATAGTTTTTGCAGCCACGCTGATTTTCATCTGATCTCTGCTGATAAACTGTAAGGAAGAATTTCCCTAGCGAATAAAATGGATGATGTTGGTATTTTAACTGGTTGCAAGGTCACTTTCAGCACATTCTACTCCTAGAGTACCTAGAGCCTGTGAACAGATGAGCCTCATTCTACTCTAGAGAGAGCTGTGAGGGTGAGCATCCTAGAGCTACAACTATGCACACATGTGATCCCCGACTCCATCAACACGGCTGTGAGAGTGAGCATCCTAGAGCTAGAACTATGCACACACGAGAGCCCCGTGTCCACTCTACACAGCTGTGAGAGCATCCTAGAGCTTCTAGAACCATGCACACAGGTGAGTCCACTCTACACGGCTGTGAGAGTCAGCATCCTAAAGCTAGAACCATGCAGTCAGGTGAGCCCCATGTCCACTCTAGAGAGAGCTGTGAGAATAAACATTTGTGAAGAACATTAAAAGCAGTCATGTAACCAACCCAGCATCATTCCTGAACTTCAATTAAACATTGTACTTTTGTTTTTAATTCCAAAATAAATAATTAGGTTAAATTCCTTTTTTTGTTTTTGAGCTGATTATTTTTCAACATTTTGTTGTGTTGTTGAGACCATACGCAGCAAAACATACATCAACAGTTTCCATGTGTAAATCCAGTGACATTGCATTCCTCAAGTTGTGCAACCATTCTTTTTCTGAGTTGTTCTTCTATAAACATGAGCCCTGGTGATGCAGTGGTTAAGAGCTATGGCTAAATAGAATTAAGCATCATATCAAAAAAATAATACACCATGACCAAGTAGGATTCATACCAGGTATGCAAGGGTGGTCCAACATTAGAAAATCAATCAACATAATCCACCACATAAATAAAAGGAAAAAGAATCACATGATCATCTCAATTGATGAAAAGGAATTCGACAAAGTCCAACACCCATTCCTGATTAAAAACTCTGAATAAAATATAGAAGGGAAATCTCACAACATAATAAAGGGCATCTATGCAAAAACCAACGGCAGACATCAGCTGAAAACATTCCCCTTGAGAACAGGAACAAGACAAGGATGACCTTTATCACCACTCCTATTTAACATTGTGCTGGAAGTCCTAGCTAAAGCAATAAGGCAAGAAAAAGAACTAAAGGGCATCCAAATTGGTAATGAAGAAGT